CTATATTATATTTCTTATACAGTTTTTGTAGACTTTTGTGAATAAAGTGCATAGTTTGTAGATTGTGAACTCTAAGCCACGTGTAGCGCACATTACTTCTGTGTCGACCCGCAAACTACAAGATGACCTCTGCGGCGAAAGTACAATTTGTAACTTTGTAGGACTGGCCTCATTTCCGATTCCGATGTCTACCACAACTTATTGCAGGCAGTAGGTGCCGATTTACAATCAGACGAAGCCCATACACAACATTTGAACGATTACTCATGTATCTCAAACATTATTGATGCATATTGCAAAGAATTTAAAAATATTGATTTGTACTATTCATTACGAAAATAATGTAAGTACGAAAATAAAGAAATTACGATTTTCCTTCGCATTATATCCCAACGCACAACTAAAACGCGTACCTGGTAGTCCTGTGCTCAATTCGAACTGTTCGAATGACACTTGGAGCACTTGCGAAAGATTAAAAAGGGTCGATTTTTTTTACTAGGCTAAAGACGATGTTCGGTTCGTGCTCGCCAGGCACATTAGCAGAGTCGCTTTTCCCAATTCCCAAAGGAAAGCTCTTATTTTGCACGTTTCAATGATTACCTAGTCCAGAAAACTGAATAGGAATGTATGTGGAAAATATTCTCTTTCTTTACTTTGCCAAGGGGCATAATTTCATTAATTATTTCAGTGTAATTAAGCATTGGCATACATAATTAAGTATTGATATTATGTTACTGACATCGTTGATATAATTGTTGTGTTCATTATTTATAAACGTATTTGAACATTATGCAAATAAGCAACATAGTGCACCCTAACGTATAATCAACATCAAATATTTCTTTATATTTTCATGCACCATTATTTTATTTAAGCCTATTTTATTTAAGATATAGCGCTTAAGGGTTAATCCCGACAGAGCGGGCAATGCTGTGCGCTGCGCTGCATTTCCATATTTTTCGAGCCTTCGACCGGGTCGACCAGTACCGTATCAAGCTATTGAAGGTCCTTAATTATAATTCTTATTTCTTTTCATTTTTAGACACTGAAGTTGTTTTTATCATACTTTTCTTGCGTCCCATTATTTTCTATAATAAGTAAATAGAAAGATTCAACTTTAATACCACATATACACATGACATATTATACAGGATTAGGCACACAAAGCGCGATTAGATAATTTTTCAAAAAGTGCAGCAAATGGTATATCTACCCTATTTCTAGACTATGGATTCTATGCATTTGTAAAAAAAAATTATCAACTTATAAGTCAAGGTTTATCCGCGCATAATGTTCAACGGAACTGGGCTTTAAAACGGGTTTGTATGACGCGTGACCAAGTGCTGCCTGTTTTCAAAGGATTCTTATTATTTAACATCCCCAACACCAAAGCATACACAGCTAATTTACAACATCTGCTGGTTGAAACACTAACACACTCATTTTCCGGAACAAATAGAAATGTATATATTTGCATTAGGTTTCTACTACATTTATTTATTTAATAATAAATAAAGTAGTTAGTAAATAATTAAGCGAAATGGAGACGTACCGCATGTTAGGTTCAACTTCAGTTCTTATGTTTTAATTCCAAATAAAGAAAAATTGTTTGTACGTTCAAATAAACTACTAAATTAAAGAAGTAAATCAGAACTTCCCGCAAATGACGTTTATTCGGCTCAAAACTCGACATTTTCGCATGAAAAAATATACGACGTTCATACACAATCGCTAATATTTCGATGTTATGTTGTTGATATTGTAGCCATGTTTGGAATAGGGCAGACCTTTACACTTCAGTTCATGTTATAATGAATCTTTAATAATATATTAAACTCAGAAAATAAACAAATATCACTTATTACAATAACACATATGGAAAAATAAAAAATAACCATTTCACTCTTTATGCGCATATAACGACCTCTGTCTTTCACCACTCTCATCCCCCACTACCATATGTCGATATAAAGGGATCGATTATTCTTTCCAACAGTTGACAGATGTGTAACC